ACTCCAATCCAAGTAGTTTAGCAAAGCATGCTAGAAGTAAACATCCTCCCACTACACAGACGATCCAGGATCCTGCCATACCAACCTGTCCGGAATGCCAAAAAAATTATTCCTCGATCAAGGCTATGAAAACTCACATGCGTAATGTCCACAAAGGCGCCCTCCAGGAGGAATCGAAGAGGACTTGCCAAATATGCGGATCCGTTCACTCTAATCCGTATAGTTTAAAAATTCATCTTAGGAAAAACCACCTTCCCACTACACAGACGATCCAGGATCCAGCCAAAACAACCTGTCTCGAATGCCAAAAGACCTATTCTTCCATCCAGGCTATGACAATTCATATACGAAATATCCATAAAGGTGCCCTCCATGAGGAATCGAAGAGAACCTGTCAAATTTGTGGATCCATTCACCGCAATCCACGTAGTTTATCAACACATATGCATAGCAAACATCGTCCTAAACGTAGGCAATAAAGTTGAAGTAATAACTACGTCGCTTTCTCTTTCTGTATATTTATTACGACCCATGACAGTACATCATCCGTTCTGACAGCTTTCATGGCACATCTTACCAGATCCGTCCCCTCCGCTGTCATCCCCGTAAATTTAGTGCTTCTAATTACACTCGCAGAGACCAGAGCCTGTAGGAAATAAGGGAGGGGACGACACACTCGCTCTTCCGGGAGAGAAAACACACCACACACCCAACCAAACCGTCACGCCAACTTTTATTCCACTCTCACACTTTCCCACGTAGAAATTCACTACAAATAAATATCCACAATTCCATTTAACAGGAACAAACTAATTGTTACCGCGAGGTCGTCGGTGTTTCGGCCGCCGTCGCCGCGGTCCTTCTTGTGCGAGGCAGTTTTTGGAGGACGGAAAACTTTTCCGCTCTCATCTCGTCAGCCTTTTGGGTGACTAAAGTAAAGTAAACTAACTGGTGCATGGAGGACTTGAATCATTCCGTATCACATCCACTCATACGAGCACCAACCACGGAGGACTAACGCCAACAAGGAAACGACACCACTGCGTGGCGTGGCGTGGATGGAGGCGACGGTGGTATTCATGCCTTACTTACATTACATTACATCAAAAATTCACACTCGCATCACCACTCGCTCTTTCTCTCTACCCCGTTAAAATGGTTGTTAAGTTGCATGATTTACTCACAAAGTTTCAACTGGAAGTGGTAATAGCTCAATTTTTATGGTGACTTTTAAAAAAATGTCTTTTCTGAAATGTCGTTGATTTGTCTGCCAAATGTAACGTGGAAAAAATAGAAGCGAGCGAGGAGCAAGAGATGACATAAAGTTTGTTTTTTATTTATTCTTAAACTGCACATTAAGTCTCATTACATGAGCAATGCCAAACTTTTAAAAAGCTCGTTTGCCGTGTATCCACTTTATGTTTATGGTCTTTTGCTTACTTGCTTACTTATTATGCATGTACAGCTCTTTCGCTTTTATTCTTGTGTTACGTTACGTCTTCCATGGACAGATTGTTTGTTGGTATTTAACTACGCATGCTTTACAAGCTCATTAGTTAATTAGCATGGCAGTAATAACTAGATAACTAACTAACTCATTTTATGCGTTATATTGTTGGACGGACGAGGAGGGTTGTTTGTTGGTTGGGGATAATGTGATAACGCTATTATTCCGTCATCGTCGTCGTGATGATGATGATGACAGCGTGAATGTTGCAGTATATCCATATGCACGGGGTGTTTGGGAACACAGATTTTTTGAAGAATTTCCCAGCATTATTTTGCATGCAGAGATTTTCTTTTTATTTTTTGTCAGAGGCAATATTAGGGAATTTCTCCATCACCCAGTAAACTTTCTCCTCAAAGTGCAACATCCTTTGGGAGAGAGAGAAAGAGAGCTGGCGCATTTTCTGTGAAAACCAAACAAAATTCATGCAAAACAAGTAATTCCGAGTCGAAGTCGATCAGACATTAAGGCAATTGACGATCGAGGAGACTGCAATGTCGCGAGGAGATGAGATGGGCGAAAGGGAAGTTGAAGTTGTGAGGCCTCCAAATAATCCAGTAAATCTAGGAATCTCATCAAAGTCTGAGCTGCGAGATGTGTTGGATGGCATTGTTGTCTAAATCGCCGATAAATTTTCCCGAAAGGGACACTTTTACTACTGCGCGACTACGGGAATGGGAAGTAATTAGAATTTTCGAATATGCATACAAATATGCTCTAATGTCGCAAGAAGAAACTCGAAACTTGGATAAAATAAAATGGAAACCCAATCTACTTTTATTTAGTGTTTCTATTTAGAATTCCGGGGTAATCATCATTATCATCATCACCAGCGTGGGGCTGGTTTTTTAAAAAGTATTATTTTAAACTTTAGCTATAATGTAATATATATTTTTAAATATTCAACCTTGACACGGGCATAAAAATTAAGTCAATGTCTCATCAAATCTGTCGGAAAGGACGCTTTTGGTTGAATAATAAGGGTGAAACAAGGAGGTGCTTTTCCATCTAAACAGCAACAACAAGCAACACTTCTTACAGAAGTGCGACCAGTTTTCTTATTTGCTTTCTTGTTTTCAGAACATACATGTTTTTCCTTATTTAAGACCTTTGTTCCCACCAAGAAAAGTAAACTAACCCTCTTTCTCCGTCCTCCATACAATATTGCCGCCGCCGCTGCTGCTACTGCGTCCTCGTCGTTGTTACTTCCTGCAAAAGATTTTGATTAAAGGAAAGAAACAATAGGACCTTTGGGAGATTTTGAGAGTTTAAGTTGAGATTGTGGAACCTGGCGCTGCTGCTGCTCTCAAAATTTAGGAAGGACAACGCTTTGATTCATTCCTTTAATTGTCTTAAACTTTTACTTTGGGGAGAAGCAAAGGATGAGATGAGAGGTAGTTTTGACTCGCTTAAATTTTCATGCGTCCGTCTGTCCAAATTATTTATTAACACGATCAAATTTAAAATAGCATTGCAAATTCAAAAAGTACTTTCCTCATCCGGCGAGTCGGGCAAAAACCAAGTGCTTCAATTGCTCTCAAGGTTGCTTTTTAAATGAAATGGAATTTACACAACACAAAAATAAGGGGTTAATAAGATGAAGGTGCAAGAAGGGGGATCCATCTCGCGTTTTACGCAAATGTCAAAATATTTTCTCCTCTTCTCCCAATGTTTGTTTGGTGTCATCAAAAACTTGGTTGTGATGAATAGTAAGTAAAAAAAAATGGGGAAATGCCATCCATTTTTTTAAATATGGGAGCCACATGACCAGTAGAGCGACCCCAGGAGCGTCTACTACTTGTCCTCCCCATCATCTTGCTCAGTTGAGATTAAAGACATGTATCTTAACGACTTTTCGTCATAAACGGTAGGTCTTCGTATACGTTTAATGACATGAGCTGGAGAATTTACTGGAGCCATTTGGGCTCCATTGAATTACCCAATTTAGCAGGGCTCGTCTGCTGGTTACTTATGTATGTACACAGAGAGAGAGATACGTACGTACGTACCTTACCTCCTCCTCCTCTTGAACGGGCTGGGAAGGAAGGAAGGAGGGATGGATGGATGTTATGTACACCGTATGTCCGAAAGAAGCCATTGTTCCTTGCTTGAATGGCCACAATAACTCTTAATTGGCCCTATAAATATCAACGAGCGTCATTGCAACGCAAGTCTCGTTTTGGTTGGGGCGAAGAGAGACTGTGCGGGGAGTCAAATCCGAAGATACCCACGTTGTGAATATTAAGGTTCTGAACTGAGTAGGCGAAAGTAACATGCGCGCGTATTGGCCCTAGTCAGCATTCTTATTGTTCAATTGGGCTTCAATTTAATTAGATAACTATTATTATCAAAGTTTATTTCATGAAAATTTGGTTTTTGCTTAACCAAGGTAAATGTGAATACTTTTAAGGGGCTGAATAGTGTTCTGGATAGTCAATTGTCCAGTTCAAGCAAAGGTTTTTCACCCAACCTACCAACTTCGGGTTTTCCCTGTGCTCCCCAAGTCAACTAATTTTTATTTGTATTTTGTGAATAAAAAGGTAAATAGACTAATATTTAATAACTACATTCATAGTTTTTATTTATTATGTTTTCTTTAAATCTGTACATTCTTATAATATATTTTCCTTGCAGGATAAATGTCCCTCCCGCCGTCCACTCTCTCTGAGGAACAGCGCCTCCGCATAGACGAAAATCGGAGAAGGGCTCTTGCCGTCAGAGTCCTGAAGCAGGAGAATGTATCTCCGCGATCCATTCCATTTCAGGTAAATAAATGCAGGTGATAAATTTAAATTTCCTATAAGTGCATAAAAACCAAATAACTAAAATAAATTATATTACTAATATTTTGTAGGTGGCCACTGGACGTGATACTGGCTCTGAGGCTCCTACAAACCTGGACCTCGAACCAGTCATAAAATTAAAAATCGAGATTAAGAGGCTCAATGCCGTCATAAGACGGAACGTGAGTGACAGTTTAGATTAATACAAAACTAATGTGCACCTTATTATCTTATACTGTTAATTACTTGCTTTAGAATGGTTATCTGGATGCGAAGGACGTTGCATTAATTGCAAAAGATAAACGGATTACGGAGCTGCTGAGCAAATTGGACCAAAGGGATCAACATATAGAAGATTTGAAGCGACAGGTTTATGAAAAGGATGCTCAGATTGAAAACAAGGATAGCTGGATTATGCAACTTGAAGGACTTAAAGATGAGCAAGAGGAAGATGTCAGTGACGCCGACGAGATGCAATCTGCCTCAAAAACTTCACCGGCCTCCACGTCTATGGGAAAACCGATATTATCAAAAGGTATCATGATGTGTGCACTCTTTTGATATTTTCAGGTAATTTTATTTCTCCTAACAAAGAACAATTATCCTTTTTATTAGTAGTAAAACAGGGGAAGACAGTGCAAAGACTGGATCTCAGCCCCACAACAGCGGATTCGCTGCAGTCATACAAGTCCTACAAAAAAAGACGTGCATCAGTGAAAAAATGTACTTGTTCGCACTGCGACTATAATTCCAGAAGGTAAAATAATGTGCTCAATGACTATAACTTATTCATCATAATGTTTTTCCAATAGGAAACCTGGGGAGGAGAACAAGGACCGACATGCCTGTGACCACACTGGTTGTGGAAAAACCTACAATAATATAAGTGATCTACGTCGTCACATTGAAGCAAAACATTCTGGAACAAAATTCATCTGCCCAGTCTGCAATATTGTTTTAGCCAACCAAACCAGCCTTCGTACACATCAGCTACGTCATCTGAATATCCTACCCAAGGGAGAGAAGAAAATCATGCAAGTCCTGGATAGAGTGACCTTAATAGTATCAGACGACAATAAGACTGCTTACCTTCGCGAGTCTACTAAGGAGGACAGGGAGGCAACAGGAGGTATTGAATATAATTCTTTCTATCTCAAATTAAAACTTAATAAATGATAGTGTACACACTCTTGAATTTTACAGAGTTACAAGTGGAGCAGGTATATTGCATTCCAGTGCGCTCAAAAGAAACAGGAGAAATCGTGGGGTATACTGGCAACTATACCAATCTCTTCAGTGTTATCCACGCTAGCAGTATGATCAATAACAATTGTGACGCCGCCGCACTCAGGGAGGATATAATATGGTGTGAGGGTTGTACCTACAGGTCTATAAACCATTGATTAATTTCAAAAAATAATGTTCAAATATATTCTCTAACCAAATAAAATTATCAAAAATATTCATATGAATGTTATTTTCCAGGTTATTTGGCGACGCTGATCTCGAACTGTGCTGGCGAGAGGCATTTCCCCTCCAAATTTTCCTTCTCCGAAGGGTGATGGCGGAGAAGGTGAAAGGCTGGATCCGGATCCGACTCGAGACTTTCGGGAACAGGACTATTATTGATGCTATTAAAGTTCTTAAGGAGGTGGATCACCACTTGGAGGGTCGAGTTCAAGCTGCAGCAAGTCTATTTAACCCAGAAACCTGCGACAAAATTCTAAACAAACCTCGCCATCAAATTTTTGAAGGGGTGCCGTGTGTCTTACGGAATATTGTTATTCCTATTACAGATCTTGTTAAGAAGTTTTAGTGTTAGTAATTACATATTTTTTCCACCGGTATCGGGTTTTCCCTCTGCTTCCCAAGCCAACTAGTTGTTATTATTCGTGCATTGTTTTTGTTGAATTTCTTGACATAATTAAATTGTCTAGTAAAGAATTAATTTTTATTCTTTTCATCTATATTAAAAGTATACGCAGAGTATTCATGATTAATCTAAGAGCTCATCACTGCCAAAGTGCCAGCCCAGTTCGTCCAGAAAAGTGCCATCACATTGCATCCCATCTTCCAAAGTCACAATCAGCCATCAATAATGGTGGGTGATGGGTGGTAAAAGATCTCCATGCAGCCAGCCATGTGGGGTTTGCGAGCTTAACTCGGGGTGTGGTTCTCCAACCCACTGCGCCAATATTGGCAGACTTTAAACCTACAAATTGAACCACCAGTTGTGGTTCTTATGTAATGCAAAACATTACGTAACATTACGACTTGCGAGATTTACAGATGCAAGTATTTGACTGGAATTGTGAGGAATTAAGACGTCGTTTTTATTATTTGAGCGAAAGTTAACAAATAGATTAATGATAGATTGATTGCATGAAATGCAGTTCGAAAGTTTCCATTTTATCGGCTCATTAAATAAGGAAGATGCAGTTCCACAAAATGACAAATCTAAATATCATGATTGCCTTTATGGTAAGGAATCGAAAATGTTTAGCTACATTTATGTCATATTTATTTACATATTACGCTATCCTTAGCGATTTATGGATAATTGTAAACTTTTGATGACCAGTTTTACTTGTTTAGAGTGATTCGACGCGAGTACGTGGCCATTACACGCACCGGGCATAAAACAAAGAGGACGGTGGTGGTGTCCCCATGCACCTTTCTCCTGGTGGTGGTGGACCCCCTTTATTTTGATAGATTTTGGATCCCCCTCCTAAAAAGTGACACAACTTGGATAAATTGCATGGTGCGACATTTCTTGTAAACGAGTTGTGAGCGAGCAAAGTCGTTGTTTGCCTCCTGCAGTTTAGTTGGAGAATCTTGCGAGTTATTTGGGAGTTAGCAGGAGTTGGTTCGAGTCGGAAGATGAGACAATTCAAATGCATGAACTGTCAGTCTGGTCGCATTAACCAAGTCAGCACGTATCCCATTCAATGGATCTCATCAGTCCTCGTAGAACGTAGTAAAAACGTCAACCGAATGCCTTGACATCTGGGCCTTCCTGATTCGGTCACTGTAATTATCCCTGATTTATAGTAACTATCCCGGCAATACTGCTGCTATCTCCTATTGATCCAGCCCCACCGAATCCTCCTCCTTCTCCGGTCGGATTCTTTCTACCCGGACTGGAAAAATCCACAAACACGACGCATCATCCCACTTACTTTTTCAGTCAGGAAATCCAATCTCACCGGCCACCCAGGAAAATATGTCACGTTATCATCACTACTTGTTGTGGGGTCGGTACAGCCATTGTTTTAAAACGGAAGTATTGACATGTGTGGAGTGTAAGATAACTATTTAATCATCTCACTTTGATATTGCCTTACTTAACTTTTTCTTCATAGTTAATTTGCAAATAAAAATAAGTAATTAATAATAAAGCATTTAATTATCGTGGTGTGCATAATTTGTGCGCTACACAAGTGAATGTTTGCATAGATATTTATTTGTGTAAGTTATTTATGTGTCACCTAATTGCTTTGCTATACATAAGTGAAGACAAATTTTTAAAGGTGAAAGTAGATTAACTTGATAAAAAAGAATTATGAAATTAGCATATGCACTGATTAGTCAAAAAATCATGAAATTACTGATACTTTTTACTACAATTTTTAACTTATTTCGCAATGATGGAGATTATGTAATCTTCAACGCGTGTATAATTATAGGACATAATTACGCATTTAATTAGTCATTTGATTTCAAATCGCCTTGACCAAGGCGTAGATACACCATCAACGGTTTCTTTACACGTATATCACGATGCACATACAACCTGGTCGAGTACAATGCAGGTTGTTCCCAGTGCTGCATGGATTCTGCGGAAAGAAACAGTAAAACTGTTGTGTTGGAGTCTAAATTCTGTAAATATTGCCCAAGCGACCACATCCCTTCGTCCCAAAGACACTTATCCATAATGGAATCCCATCTTCAAGCCACTATTTTACTCCACCTTGAGGCACCATAATTCTTTCCACGAGGAGACAGCTTTAAACTCCCTCACATAAAATAATAGACCGGATAATTTTTGACCAGACAAGAGCTCCGGCAGCACCAGCACAGAAAAATCCTCGTGTCACCACAGCCATCCACCGTTCGTACCTAAGTTCGTACATGCATCCACTCTTTCCCTCTTCGACGGTTGAATGACTACTGTCCCCCCATTCCTACGACTGACACAAGACAGATGTTCCGAAAGGATGCGCAGTTTATTTTATAGGTCATTTCAAGCATAATTTTCAAGTAGGAGAAAATTGATTCAGCTAAAAATCCACTCTTTGTTATATCCATACTGATCACAATGTCATGGTTCACTTTTTCTTTCTACGGGGTGTGCCATGCTGTAAAATAATTTAAATGGTCACCCACCACCACCACGTTCATCTCGAGGACGTCGTTTCCAAACCGGAAAGAGGAGAATCCTCGTGAAGCATTATTCCACCATCATCGTGTAAGGGTACTAGTTAGGAGGAGTGCGAGATAGACAGGACACTCCATCGAGTCCATAAAGACGCCGCTGCTGGTCTGGTGTCCTTCTCCCGCTTGTCCTGTTCTATTAGAGAAAGCGACTTTCTCTATTCTCTAAACATAAATAAGACTCTCCCACGTCACTCTCACGTTTCACCCGCGTTCTTTCATACTCGATAAGGATCCTCCCTTAAGCCCCTTATTTATGTATGGTGGGTCGATCTTCCAAATCCAAACCAACTACTTCACTACCCTCCTCGCAGAGGCCGAAAGACGCCCGCCACGCAACCAACACCAACAACTCACATCTCACCCACTCCATCCATGCTAGATTGCGACTTGTGACACCCAACTAAACTTTACCAAGTGGGGTGACTACTCGAGATCTCTCCCCGCAATCCCATCACAAATTTCCAATCGAATCATATAAACTCTGACTTTTCTGACCGAACGGGCAAAAAGAGAGAGACTGATATGTCGGATCTAAATCTGACCGAACCACCCACCCGACCGGCAGACCGACCACCCTCTTCGTTCAGAAATAATGAGGCACTTGGCGTGCAAAACAACAAATTTGACAAGCACATTCAATCTAATCATGATGACGGAAGGAAATGAGGACGTAATTTTTAATTTTTATTTTATTGACGAGAGACTCCATTCCAATAACGTCTTCTCTCTCGCGGGTGATGGCATTGGTTTTCAGATGGAGAGTTAGTGCAGCATAGTGGAAATTCTATGTGGTGGGCAAAACGGAGGTCTCTCTCTTTCTCTGACTAATGGTTCTTTGCGAGGTGAGCCTGGTGAAAGCACCGTTTAATTGCATAGGTGACTTGACTTGACGTAGTGACTGTTCCTGCTGTATGGTCGTGGTGGTAGTGGTAGTCATTCCAGGGTGTCACCCACACTCCTCTCGGGAAGAGAGGAGAGGAAGGAAAAAGAGGGAAATCGATAATTAAAGAAATAAAGAAATTCTGTTGGACAGTCACGTCAGAGTCGTAATGTCAAGGCGTAAATTTCCCGAAATTTTCTCAACTTTCATCCACCCAGTTTTGTTTATACTTCGGACGTGCTTTCGGTCGGAAAGAAATGCGGCAGAGCAGCCTTTGGTCACCACCACCACCACCACCGCGAAACCACCGTCAGTCACTGCTGCGTCGAGTATGTTGTCCTCTGTTTGCCCAATCTTTCACTTTTGTCAATTTCACAAGTATGTGTTTGTATGCTGGTTGTTATAAATGGACACAAAAACCCTACCTGACATTATCACACATGTCACGGTTGTTGTCCCCTCGACAGTTGCGTAAGAATTTCTTACGGATAAGTGGATTATGCAAGCAACGACATTATGCAATGCAGCCTCACTTAATAAAACTTGTCATGAAACTATTTAAAATATATTTAATTACAACTTTCACTCGTCAGTCGCCCTCCCTCCACGTCAGTCACTCAAACAAACCGTCGCAGCAAAGATGATGCGCTTATATTAACTCAAGTTATTTAAGTAGTCCTTGTTTTGTTTTAGTAAATGAAATACTTTCACTCCTCTTTTTCCCCGAAAAACAATTAATTTTATTGGGAAACCAGCTTTAATTATGTTTCCTTCCGTGCCATCAGAAAAGCTGGAAAAATTCATATTTCCCAAGTTAGCTCATTGTCATAACTCGTCATTTTGGTTTAGCCAGCGACTTCTTGTTCCTTGAATGGAAATGAAATGCGACCATTTTCTCCTCGGTCGGTCAGCTTTCTCTCCCTCCGCCGTAAGCCAGAGGCTCATCACACGACAGATTTACTGTTAAATGCCGGTTGTAAATTCATACTGGGCAAAGTCCTACCAAACCAAACCACAACAAAAGAGGAGGGGCTCCTCCTCCTGCTGGTCTCTATGGACGGACGACAAATGCTGAGCACGTCATCTCATCGTCGTCAACTCCTCGTTCCCTTCGATTTTGATGGAAATAGATTTCTCCCATTTTTTTCGCTGATAAATACCATCGTAAATCTCGTATTATTATTTCGATTACTACAATTATTACTCTGGTAGCAAATGGTTAATGACTTATTCCATATATTTACACATTAACTACTTCTTTTTTCCAAAGTAGGAGAAATTTCGGCGCAACAAAATATAATAAAAAAACGGAATACAAACGAATATACAACTACTGCACCAATCTTCTCGAGAAAAAGAAACGCTGCTGCCGTCTTTTTTCTTGATGTTATGTGGATTTACACAGATTGGAACATCAAGTTTGAAGGAGAAAGTATGAGATGAGATTGAGGAGATAGTTGATCTTGATAGTGAGACATGAGAAACGCCAACAAAGAGAAAGTCAGCTCTCCACATGGTACGGAGTGCGCGATCTCAATGAACAGTTTACGCTCACTTTACAAAGGACTTAAGGCTTGAGGTTCATCCACACAGTCAACTCACTTTTCCTCCACCCCGTTATCAGTATGAATTTCGATACGAAATCCTACAAAATTTGAACCATCTTGTCCTGGCAGCTTCACGAGGCGGCTTTCTCCTTCATGAACATGTAAACTTTCACCGTCCATCTGAATGGTGCGACTGTCCATGTATGTGTCGTCTTGATCCGACAAAACATAAAATAAAATAGAGTGGGAGACAACGGTTGATCTAAGGCTGCCTCCTCTCGTTGTGGGTGGCTTACTCGCCTCCTCTCCACATTATATAATACGTAATACCACCTAAATACATACATACAGAGAGCTCTCATGTTTCCCTTGACTTGAGCTGGTCGGGTTCGTGGTGGATGGACAAAGTCAGGAATGGAGGAGGACATTGTTTTACAACCGGAAAGGACCATTCTGACATGAGACTCTTTTTGGACAAGTTTTCCGAGTTCCCATTTTCCCTCTAATTTCCCTTTAATTCTGCAGCAGTTAAATGTGACGTATGATGCTATTCCGAATTCCCTTTTGCATACAAATACTATTTTAACAGCAGCAGTAG